AACCAGAACAGAAAATAAAGGATCTTGGGAAGATGGATTACATACAACTAGGGCATAGGGGGAAGGTTTTGTTTCCTCCAAATCTAGCTAGTTGTGAAACCAGCAGTTTTTAATTATGAAAGGAGTACTTTTCCTCTATAGTTCCCCTCTAATCTTTAAACACTAATTAACTTGTGAGCACATCAATTTCATATTTAGCTGTTAATTGAAAAATATGTCAAGAGGATTGAGTACTTCTAAAATTAAATTTTTAATGAAAATCGTTTAAATTAAAGTAGATTGTAGGTTAAGTGTTTAAAAATTCAGTCAAGTTTTATTAGAAAGGGCAAAACCACTGGGAATTTAGATGGCTCAAATTAAAGCAGAATAATTTTTAAAGTGTATAACTTCCATGATACATTTTTTTGATACCAACTATTCCAAGAAAAAAAATTAGTATCAACTGTCTATTTAATCAAAGGCAGTTAATCTTCATATGCAAATGAATGAGTTAACATGGAAATATAAATATTGATTCTCATGTGCATAGAAAAGCACACGTGGATAATATTTAGATATAATGATTATACTGTATGTACAGTATATATAGTTATAAAATTATTTAGATAATAGGAATTCTATGCGATAGGAAAAAGAAAATTTTAATACTTCTTATGGGAATGTTCAAAATTACAAAAGTAGAGATAATGATGCAGTGAAGTTCTATCCACCGATTAACCAGTTTCAGAACTATTAATTTCCTGCTATTTCAAAGGTAAATTTTGATAAGAAACAACTGATTAATTCAAGGGTGTAGTTTAGTCTGTTTATACCTTAGGAAGTCTGTTTTGGAGACTATACAGTTTTGCTTGTTGGCGTGAATTTACAGGGAGGAGCCTTTAAGATGTTTATCTTATTCTGCTTATGTTAAAAAGTCATTTGTTTCTCATATTTATGGAAAACATCAGCAGAAACTATCTTAAGTCCATTTTTAGAGCAAGAGCAGAGCACCCAAAGGAATAATAACAAAAAGTGAGGTTCACATAAATCAGTTATTTGGACAAACTGCTTTATAATAATAACTGTTTCTGGGAAAAATACATCGTATTAAGATAAGCTTCCTTTGAATTTTTTAAATAAAAGTTTTACCCGTAGGATTAAATAGAGAACAGTTAAGACTTCTACATACTACAGTTTTCCAATTTTAGCGGGGGGAAAGCAGCTCTCAGTCAAGACTTTCAGTCCGTTTATTCAGTCACCGGCAGTAGAACAGCATCAGTCTCCAGCTGGGAGGGAGGGGAGAGGCTGCTGTGCACTAACAGAGGCGTTGTGCACTCTGTAGCCCATTCATATGTCAGCGGTAAATGCATCCTGAGCAGTCGACTGGCTGTGCTGCTGTGCATCACACACTGTGCAACGTGAAGTTTTTCAGGTCTTCGCTTAAAAACTATGTATTTTTCAACACAATGTTATTTTTTTTAATGTTAACCCTCTTAATCCATGTGGATTAGAAGCAGCATGTTGGCCAAAGGGGAAGAGGGTGCTATGGTTAGGAGTGGAGACCAAAATTTGTAAAAAGCAGAGTAAGTGTCTAGAGCCAATCGATGCTGGAAACAAAGGCCTGCTGAACTATATGCAGATGTTCTTCAGCATTATGTGTGAGTGTAATTGATATTATATGGGTACTTTTAGGTCATCACAAAACAACTAAATTAGGGTTAGTATATTCTTTGGGAATTTAGTAAAGATCAACATGCTTTTGATAAAACATTCCTACCAATGTTTAAGGATAAAACAACTTTTGGTACTTCTTTCATTTATTAGAATATTGTCCTATAGAAGATTTTATCATGACTTTTTTTTTTTTTTTTTTTTAATGGCACCGGTTAAACTTATTTATCCAGTCAACAGTTATTGGTTGCATGCCTACTGTGTGCTAGACACCGATGTAGGCCGTGGAGATACAGCATGGAAGTAGACCCAACCGCTGCCATGGTGGAGCTTACATTCCTCGTGGGGCAGACAGGATTTAGGGCATGGATCCTTTATTCAGATGTGCTGGGCCTGGTACGAATGGGTGCTGGGCTGCTTTGACTTTCTGGTCAAAAGGAGGTAACATCTGAGCTGGGCAGGTGGGCAAAGGCCTCCGCAGTGTAGAAGGGTCTCAGATGCTCTGTGATGAGAACAGGTTTGAAGTACGAGAAGACAGGTGCCGTGCATAGTAAGAGAGACTAAATAATTACAGTGAAGTAAGTTTAGGGCCTTGAAATCCAGGAGTTTGTGTTTTGTTCTAGAGGTAGTGGAAATTAAGAGCAGAAGTATGAGGAGATCTGACTTAACATTTGCAAAGAATGTCTGGAAGTTATGTGGAGCATGGACAATAGGTGAGCCAAAGCAGAAGCAGAAGCCTTCCTGTGCAGTCCTGGGAAGAGATGATAGTGGGACAGTTGTGGCTCTACTAGGTTTTTACAGGGGACATGGTGAGCTTGGGCAGTTTTGGAGGATATATTTTGGAAACACATGCTGGTGGAAAGATGGGATGTGAAGAAAAGACAGGAGTCCTCCAGGTTTCTGGACTAAGCAATTGGATACTGATTGTGAGAAAGCAGAGTTTAGGGGAAGAAGTTGAAGGTGTGTTTTGGACATTTTGAACGTGAAATAGCCATTACTCAGCCACTGGCTACATAAGTCGGCATTTGACGAGTGGGTATCGTGGTGAGAGGTTAGGTCTGGGGCGTTGCTGCGGAAGGCATCGGTTATACCTTAAATTTGAAACCACAGGCTGGTGCAGAGGAGAAGAGGGCTGAAGGGTCCCTGGAGGTGATAGATAACCTTTAGAAGTCAGGTAGAGGGGTGGAATAGGGGCAGAAGCCAAATGAGACAGAAAAAGTGACTAATAAATTATAAGAAAAACCTAGAGACTGAGGACAGGAAGCCTAGAGAAGATACTGCTGTAAGGAGAAAGGAGCCATCAGTGCTGCGGAGACGTGGAATTAAGATAAGGACCGAAAGGATTTAGATAGTACAGGATGCTGACAACTTTTTAGAGCCTTTTGTTTGGAGTTTCAGGAACCACATGGTGAGGGAGTGGGAAGAGGGGGAGAAAATGAAGATAGTGTATAAACCACTCTAAAGGGAGAATTTCTGTCGTGGGAAAAGCAAAATGTGGATAATAGCTGGAGTGGGATGTGGGATCAAGAGAAGTGTTCCCCTCCCATAAAGAAAGCTGTATGTTTAATGATGTGTGTTCAAGATTCAGTGCTGCCTCCTGGCATCATGATGTTCAGTTTGGAAGTTTGGAGTAAGGGGTTGAGAGGGCTAAAAGGATCGATCTCTAAAGCAGGGCAGTGGTCACAGAAAGAACAAACAGAAAGGGTACCCAAGAGAGTTGTATTCAAGGGGAAAATCAAGCGCGTGTCGTGTTTATTGGACTTAGCAAACAGAGAAAAGAAAGATGGTGGGGGGCTGGTCCCAGTGTTTCATAGACTGCAGACTAGCAGCCTCATTGACCAGAGTGCAGGTGCTGTTGAAGTAGTCCCCCCCTTTTTAAAATATGTTTCTATTGATTTCAGAGAGAGGAAGGCAGAGAGGGAGAGAGAGAAATATCAATGATGATAGAGAATCATCTTTCGGCTGCCTCTTTCATGTCCCCTGCTGGGGATCAGGCCCGAAACTCGGGCATCTGCCCTGACGAGGAATAGAACCATGACCTCTCGATTCATGAGTCAACACTCAACCACTTAGCCACACCGGCCAGGCTGAAATATTCACTTTTATAGCCAACTCTTTCTATGTACTATTTCCTCCCCAAGGAGACATGACATCATCATTGTAGTCTCTTGCATTTCTGTATTTTGGGGACATTTTACTGCTTTTTGAAGATGCTGTTCTTCAGGTACTTTTGAACATTTAAACATCTATTCATGTTTTCTATAATTTACATAATTTTTTCCCTCAGGGATGAAACATAATTCTTCAAAAGTTGTAAAGCCTCCATTTAGTCATTAGTCATAAAAATAATGAGTTAATAAAAGCCTGCTTTTGTCTGAAATTCCGTACTGTTAAGTAACATTAATGTTGAGGTGCGAGTGACGTTATCACTTTTTTAAATTAGTAGGTTTTCCTTTCTAAGGTTCCCTCTCATTTTCTGTTTACCTTAGAGAACATTAATCTGTCCAAATGTCATTTACAAAGTATAAAAAACACATGCAATTCTGTTCCCTATAAGATAAATGTAGCGAAGTTGAGATCTAACAGAATGTTTTTTCCTAGCATTTCTTTACCAGATTTTGTTTTATTTTGTTAACCTAGGCACCAAAAATATTCATCTTGAGGCTAGTAAGCGATTGTGACAAGCTATAAGTAATCTTAACTTTCTAGACTACGTGGCTCATTTATGTTTTTAAACTATTAGTGTGGCTTTTTTTCCATGACAAATGTTGAACTCGTGTCTTTATTTCTTTTACAGGTTAATGTGTGAAACTGTGAGATATGAAAGACATGAAGCAAATGAAGTTTTATACTAGTAGGTGTTTCCTTTTTCTTTGTATGATGTATAACGCAGTGACCAAAGACTTTCCTTAAAGAATCAAAGCAGTGTTAGTAGTAGCTTGCTCTGTCAGCCTTACCTTATTTTGGCATTAACTTATTTTTCATAGTTTAGAAATGGGAAACATTTCAGCTTTTTCCTGATGTAAACGTTTACAGTTCTTTGCTGATAACTTCGGTAGCTGTATATCTCTCACGTGTCATTCGAATATATTTCACATTATGGAGTATTTTGGCATTTTTATCATTATGAAATAAGCAGTAGTGTAGAGTCTTTTTAAAAGAACAAAATATATATTCCCACAACCACACCAGATGAAATGTAAAGGTAGCATAAATATCCTATTTTCACTTATAATCTTTCAGAAACAGAAAAATAAGATGCCCACATCTCTTGAGGCATAGTTTCTTTTTTAAATAATACTGATTTTTTTCCAAGATGTGTAATATATTTCTTGAAAAAAAGAGAACTAATTTTTTTTTTTTAAATGTGATAAGCATACAGTGGATAAATATTGTTAGTATATGTAAACTGTGACTTACCAGGCGTCATTTTGTTAATGATGTTTGCCTTGACTGACGGCTGTTCTGTTGACTTTCCTTCCTGTTTTCAAAACGGTTATTAAAGAATTACTTCCCATGCATGTTATAGGGAATAGTTATCTAAATAAACAAAACACAGCTTCTGCCCTCAGGCAGCCATAATCTCTGAGGGGGAAGTAGAAGTAGAATAAAAGAGAACCAACCACAACAAAAACTAACCCAAATGACTGAGAATATGGGCATGTGCAAGGGGCTGAAGGAAGTGCAAGGGAGGGCTTGAGGGAAACGGGGGGCGTCTCAGACAAGCGGCCCTTTGGACGAGGTCTCAAAAGTGTGTCCACTGGTCTAGAGAGACTTTCTCGGCAGGAGAAACAGTATGTACAGTAACACAGGGAAGTGAGGGGCCCTGGCTTGCTGTTTGGAACCTTGTGGCAAGGTTAGGGTCACTGGCGTGTGATGTGGGTCAGATTGATGAGCCAAGAGGCAGGCTAGTCATACTTGCTTGTGAATGTGTAATAAAATAAATTGGTCTTGATTCCTTAGGCGACTGGAAATGAGTTTTTTCCCTCTCAACTAACATTTTATTGTAGAAAATGACAGATGTTTCCAGTGTTAGAGACAATAGCATGACAGACTCCCATGTACTCCCCATCCAACATTGTCAATCGAAGGCCAATTATGTTTCATCTTTTACTTTTCCCACCTCCTTTGGGATAATTTTGATATGTATCTTTATCTGTAAAAGATAAAGACTTAAGAAGATCTAACCACACTATTATTATCCTCAATCTTTAAAACATAATTCTTTATATCATGAAAATATTCAAATTCCTTTGTCTCAAAAAAATTTTTTTAACGGCATATTTATTTGAATCAGATCTGAATATCTTTCTAAAGTCTCTTGTAATCTGTAGTTTGGTGGCCAGTTTTCAAGCAGCAAAATGACGTGACCAAATGCCTTTCAACCCCACTCATCCTTCAAGGATAGTGTCTTATCTGTGTCTGTATGAAAATGCGAAGGGTGGATTCGGTTGAGCGGATGGGCAGGCAGGTCAGTAAAGAGACAGTTGCCTAATCTGAGGGTCACAAGTGCTTGAACTGACTCAAAGATGGAGAAATGGGGAAATCGGGTGGGTTTTACAAAGACATACAGGTGGATACGATCAAGGATGATTCATAGGTTATAACTTATGAAACTTAATCATCTAGGGGCTTTTTAGCAGGAAATTGTAAATATCCATCTAGGGCTTAAAGAACATACACCGAATATAGAAGAAGAATAAATAGCCGAGATATAACTGATAATGAGAAGGCTAACACCAAGGGCAGATGCTTTTTAGCACATTTATTCTTGAAGAAATTAAGCTGTAAATAACTTAGAATATTTGCTTTCTTTAGGAACATTTAAAAGCTATCAATGGAATGGGTATAGAGATGTCAGGGTTGGAAATCTCTGGTGAATATTATTGACACTTGTTGAAGCAATCTAGTGGTCCCCTCTGAAACATGGCTTTGGTAGTATTGATAGTGAGCTAATAACAAACATTTTACAAGCACACCCTATGCCCCATGTGCTCTAATAAGTGCTTTATATGCAGTAATTTATCTACTCCTTGTAGCTGTCTTGTGAGGTAGATATCATCACCCCAGTTTTACACATGAAGGGGCTGAGGTTTTGAGAAGATGCGGAACCTGCCCAAAGTCTCACTGCTCAAAGCGGGACCTGGATTCTACCCCAGATATCGTGACTCTGCAGCCTTAGCAGTTACCCCACTCACCAGCATTTTCTAGCCTTTCCCATGTCTGTAAAAATGGCATCACAAAAAAATGATGGGTAGACCTTGAGAATATCATGCTAAGTGAAATAAGTCAGACAGAAAAACTTAAGAACCATGTGATTGCACTCATATGTTGGATATAAAACTGAAAGCAACAGATGAACAAAGAAGAAAAACAAAAACTCAGACACAGACAACAATTATGGTGTTTCAGAAGGAATGGGGTGGGGGTAGTAAAGGGTAAAGGGGTAAGATATGGTGACAGAAGAGGATTTGACTGGGTGATGGGCACCCAATGTATCATAGAAATGTACACTTGAAACCCATATAATGTTATTAACCAGTGTCACCCCAATAAATTTAACTTTTAAAAAAAGAAAATAGAAAAAGGAAAAAAAATGATAATGCTTGTAGGCATGTTGGGATACGCACACCATCCTTCCCTGCAGCTGGCCCTCCAGTGGAGGGGTGGGAACTGAAACGCAGCAGCTGCTCTGCCTGCGTTATCCCGACTCCCTAACAGTTTTTATTTATTATTCATTTAAATTGAAGGTAGGTTACAGTGTCTTTTAATATACCTGGGTTTTGTTGTGTTTTATTTTTTTAAGTCAGTTTTAACAGTGAGTGTGAGCTGTGCAGATAACGCAAAGCCGTATTTTAGATAATCCTAAATTGAAGGCTCTTAGGCTAGAGCTGGTTGTAGCAATTTCTCATTTTTGACTAGTTAGAATTAGGTGACATGTTAGTGAGCAATGAAAAGTCTGTGGATATTCAGTTGGGCATGAGTTCATAAGACCAAAACTTCAGAGACTAATTGTAGATTAACTTAATCAGATTCCTAGTATTTGGCCAATCTGGTGGAGACAGGTAATTGTATCATTTTCTTCTGTGATCCTTGAACAGACACGTTTCTGCTCTTACCAATCTGTGTAGGTGCAGTTTTGACAATTAAAGAGCCCTTGTATTTGTGGTGTATATAAATCTGTGATAATACCACCCCTCTTTTTGGGACCGGTTGCTGTTACCTCACTGGGGAAATGACCTGCCCTTCTTGTTTCCCCTTGGGCTTAAAGAACACAGTGTAGTCAGAATATCAAAGACGTCAGACTTTGGTTTTACGACCAAGAGTTGATTATTCATTTTCCTTATTATGTTTGTGTGCTGGTGACTTCTAAGTCTATGGTTTTAATGATTTCACCAGGTAAATGTAATACTCTTTTGATCTACCTCTGTACCTCATTTTTCTCATCTATAAAATGGAACCAATAATAATAGTACCTACTTTTAGCGTTGGTGTGGGGATAGGGTGCAATACTTTGTATAAAGTACTTAGAGCAGTATCTGCGTAGAGAGTAAGTGCACAGAATGTTAGCTGCTCTCATCATTGTCAGACTCGTGCTTTTGATAATTTGCATTTTGGCTTCTTTTTTTTTAGCTGCTTTAAACTTTTGTTAGGAAGGAATTACAGTAGTAATGCTCTGACTCCCTTAGTTATTGTTTTTATTTGTTTGTTTTTTATTAAAAAATATATCTTTATTGAGTTCAGAGAGAGGAAGGGAGAGGTAGAGAGAGATAGAAACATCAATGATGAGAGCGTCCTTGATCAGCTGCCTCCTGCATGCCCCCGACTGGGGACTGAGCCTGCAACTTGGGCATGTGCCCTGATCGGGAATCGAACCGTGATCTCCAGGATCATAGGTCAATGCTCAACCCCCGAGCCACCCTGGCCGGGCCCTTAGTTATTTTTTAACCTACTCAACAGGATGACAAAAATGCTGTGTTAAATTATATTGAGATTAGGGGTAGAGTTGTGGTCCTAAAAAAATGGAATTTTAAAAAATTTAGAATTGCCCATTTAGAATCTAGTTGTATTTGTTTACACCTGAAAAATTAGATAAAATTAGTGGAACTTTACACAGTGGACAAGAATATAAGGTAATTTCTCTCTTCTTGTCATTTGTTATCTACCATATATGCTAGCTGTTTGGCAGGCTCGGGAATACTGTGGTGGATAATATAAATTCCTAACCTGAGGGACTTTAAGATACCTTTATTTAAGAATTTAATCTGAAATGAGTAAAATAAGTGTGTCCTTTCAGCTTTAGTTTTTCTTTAGTGGCCACCATTTGTTTAATGGCCACTCATCTGCACTGTTTCAGTTTAACATACAGTTACATTTAAAGTGCTAAAAATCTTTGGTTCTAAAGTCAACTGTTAAAAAACTTTAAGTGTACACGCATACCCACACCACAAAAATGTGCAACTCGGTACCTAAAATGCCCATTTCCCACAGATATGTCTGCCTAGATGCTTTGGTTTTCTAGTTCTCAGAGCAGTTTGTTAACACTTTATCTCTCTTTATTGCAGGAGAGGAAATTGTTCCTGCATTTAAACAAAAAAAAAAGCTGCATTGAGGCCTATTGAGTCTTAAAGCATTTTCATTAAATCTGTAAATGTGCAATTTAGAACCTCAGACCTCAGCTGCATGCTCATTGCTTTAGCAGTCTTTTTACTTGTTGACTTGGTTTCCTGGTTTCACAGCAGCTTCCCCAAATCACTTAAATCACTTCTCTGCAAGGCCACCAACCCACTGCTGTGCCCAGCGTGCTCTCCCGCTCGCTCTCCCGCCAACTCTGCCCCCACCTTTACCTTCTGT